AAATGGATCGCGTTTGCACAACTTTTTTCAATTAAATCGAGGGTCCAACGTCTTTCGTTTGAGAATCACCCTTAAAAAAGTGGTAAAATTTGTACTTCTCTAATTTTTTTCTCGGCAACCATAAGAGTGCTACCAGCACATCTTTGAATAGGTTGTAGGATACCTGTGCCCTTTTCGATTTTGCAACAAAACTTTCAAACTTCTTACCACTAGATGAGGGTGCGAAAACAAATTCGACGAAATTTGGTGTCTGGAGTTTGTGAACATTAAAATCACGAATCTAAAATTACTTTTTGAAATTAAAAAAAATCCCACTGCAATTCTTGGCAACGAAAACCGAGAAAATCCCACGATTTCTGTTGTGTAAATGCTGAGTTAAGAACAAAATTGTCGAACAGTTTTTTAAAAAGGAAAAGTGATTTTTAAAAACTGTTCTTGAACTCAGTATTCATTAAGTACCTACACAACAAAAATCGTGGACTTTTCGTTTTTCGGCCAAGAATTGCGGTGGGTTTTTTTCGAATTTTTAAAAACCTAATTTCACATTCGTGATTTTCATGTTCAGAACCCCTCAAATACCAAATTTCGTAGAAATCAGAACTTCGTTGTGTTACGCTAAAAATTCATATAGAACCCTTACAAAAAGGTTTCACAATCTAACATCTACAGATTCAATTCGCATGTATCTGCAAAAAATTGTGCACCAGTTACCGCGCTTCAGACAGAGTGAAATGTAAACAGCAACGTATAACAAAAATCATATAGAGCCCTTAAAAAAAGGTTTCACATTCTAAGATCTACGGGTCAATTCGCATGTAACCCTAGTATCTGCAAAAAAAATTGTCAATCATATCATTGTCAAGCTTTGTATTGGTCCTAAGGGAGGGATCTAAAATAAATTTTAGTTCAGGTGGTATAAAATGGCTGCTGTGCGAAAGTGTATGAGCAAATTTGTTTTTTGTGGTAAACGGTACTATACTGGTCGGTCGTTGATTTTCGACATTTTGGCTGCTAACTTTGCATGGGTAAAAATCAGTGGGTAATCACTGGTATTCCGTATTATATACTGCGATATTCTATAATGGCCTTTTATACGAGGTGCCTACATACAAAATTTCATTTAAATAGCTTAACAAATAACAAAATTGGGATTACGCAAATACAAAAGTTGGGTTGAGCATGCGCAATTTCTTTTTATTCGTCTGATGCATAGTTAACACAGAAAACCAGACATTCATATGCTCTTTGTAACAAGAACTAAAAAAGAAACCCTTTTTTTGTAGGTTTGGGCAGTTTTTGGGCTGTAACTTTTTGGCCCGGTAGTTTACGTAGCCGAAAAATAATAGCGACCTTTCTTATATCCTGAAGAACATGTGTATCAATTTACAAAGCGATCGGACGTTTCTACACAAAGTTTATTTATTTATTATCCCTCTCTTGTTCTGGGCCCTCAACAAGCTTGCGCCCAATTACGGAGTGACCCGCATAATGCTTTTTAGAGAAACTGGTCTAAGGTAATTCCCCTCTCTGTCACAGATGAAAATTTCTTAACTCAGTCCAGGTTCAAACACCCGACCTCTGACTTTATAGCTCAACGCTCTACCATTGAACCACAAAGTCGGAAGTTCTCGTCCACACTGACAGACAGACGGGCGGACAGACAGACGGTCAAATAGACGGACAGACAGACGGACATACAAACAGCAATACAAAATTATACGATCTCGAGGATCATTAATAATAATAGCATCTTCATTCTACTACACAGTAAGAATACACATCAACCAATAAGTAATGGCGTATCGTAATAGTACCTACTGTTGTAGGAGGAATTCCAAGGCGAAGTTCAGTAGTTTAGAAGCACTAATCTTCACTCTTGCACTCAACCTTGTACGAAAGAGAAGAAAACTAAGTTTACATCATGGGTATTAAGGTAAAATATAGGAACGAAATAAAATCATAATAGTCCAGGCTATATAATATTTTTGTATGAAAAAAATTAGTTACCGGGTGAAACCGGGGTTTTCAAGCAGGTGGAATGAATAGAATTGGGGAAAAAATAATTAAAACAGCTGAATTTTTCCGCGGGTGAAATCACAGGGGTTGAAAGGGGTGGAAAGTGGTATTTTGCAAATTGTGGTTAAACTATTGATTTTAGACGAAAATGTTAAATGTAAAAGTTATAGAGATTAAATGAGCAACTTTTGTATCTGCAGTATTTTCACATAACCTCCAATTTTCCTAGAAAACCCGGAAAAACTGTTTTTTCGTTTTTAATTCTTATTTTTGCGAAAAAATGTCGTAGGGGTTTGAAATTTGGAGGTAACATAGCCTATTTTATGATAAAACAGAAGATAATTGTTTGGGCCCATAAAATTGAACCGTTTCCAAGATCTCACGATTTCTGTAAAAAATCACCTCTTTTTCAAGGGGATGAAAAATCTATTTTTTTTATCGTACAGAGGTGCGCGGGGTAGCAAAATTTTCGGGAAGACTTATATTTTAATAAACAAAAATAAAAAAATAGTATTCCTATAGCAAAAATTCGAGAACATCGCCAAAAACCGGAAAAACAGTTTTGAGATATACACTGTTTTTGACATGATAAATCTACATGTTGGATGTTGTTCCGCGCTGTTTGCTTTTAAGTAAGTTGGAAAGGGAAAACGGAGGGTAACGAAGTAAAGTGGAAAATAGGACAAAACGAAATGCTAAGGAAAATTAAATTACAGTGGGACGCAACAGATGTGTTAATAAAGATTTTTTCGAAATCTATCTTCTTCCTTCTCTTTAATATTTGCCTAAATATTCTCTTTTGTTATCTTATGCTCAACTGTTTTAGTTAAAACATCTTTATTATTTCTTTTTTCTGCATTTTTACCGCAATAAAAGCAATTCGAAATAAAATCGAATTATGTATCTTGCTTCCTGATTCTTGAACAATTTATTTTTGTTCACTGACTCTTCTTCCTGCTTGTTTTATAGCTGATGCAATTGCGTTGGGCCTGTTGCTTGCAAAATCTGCAATAAGAACGTTGGTTTTACCGGCCAAAAGCAAATGATTTGAGATGTCAAACCTGCAGAAATAAACTTTATGAGGATTTTATTCATAATTCCTGTAAATTAACGATCAACAGGCCCAGCTTAATCCCATCAGCTGTAAAACAGGCAGGAAGAAGAGTTAGTGAACAAAAACATATTGTTCAGGAAGCAAAAGAATTCGATTTTACTTCGAATTGCTTTTATTGCAGTAAAAATGCGCAGAAAAAAGTAATAATAAAGATGTTTTAATTAAGGCAGTTGGGCACTGGGAAACAAAAGAAAATATTTTAGCAACATTAAAGAGGAGAGAGAAGACAGATTTCCAAAACTTTTTATTAGCGCGGATCCAACACGTTAATTTATTTGCAAAAAAGCCTATTTACCTACTGTCAAAAACGGTGTATCTTAAAACTGTTCCCCCCGTTTTTGGCGCTTTTCTTTAAATTTTTGTATTGGAATATTTTTTATTTTTGATTATTAAAATGTAAGTCGTTACGAAAATTTTGCTACCCTGCGCACCTCTGTACGATGAAAAAAATAGATGAGGTGATTTTTTACAGAAATCGTGAGATCTTGGAAACGGTTCAACTTTATGGGCCCAAACAATTATCTTCTGTTTTATCATAAAACAGGCTATGTTACCTCCAAATTTCAAACCCCTACGACATTTTTTCGCAAAAATAAGAATTAAAAACGAAAAAAACAGTTTTTTCCGGTTTTTCTAGGAAAATTGGAGGTTATGTGAAAATACTGCACATACAAAAGTTGCTCATTTTTTTAATCTCTATAACTTTTTTAACATTACTTGCAAAATACCACTTTCCGGGTGGTTCCAACCCCCGTGATTTCACTCGCGGAAAAATTCAGCTGTTTTAATTATTTTGTTCCCAATTTCTATTCATTTCACCTGCCTGAAAAACCCGGTTTCGCCCGGTAACTAATTTTTTTTGAAAATAAATCATTTTAGAGCTATTTAGCCTGGACTATAATACGGAAATAATCAAAGTGAAAAATTAAAGAGGAATAATGCTAATTATATTATTATCTTCGAACTTAAATTGGCGCACGTAATTCAACTTTTAAACATCACTAATGCTAAACCCCGATTGATATCTTTGTCAAAAGTCGTCTTGTCACATTGACATATTGGGTGTATAGATAGTGAATTAAGACGTTTTATAATGAAATTAGTGCACACATAACTTTATATAATATACAAAATGAGTGTTTGTGGTTATTCCCGCTTTATTCGGGATGGACTCGTCTAGCTCACCCGAATTTAAAAAAAAAAACGAAAAAACCGAAGGTGCGACTTTTCAGCCTAAACACTCTCGCTTCTTAATAATGAATCCTTATATAGTTTCTTTTATGTAAGAAGGTATAAAAGGCCCTTGGCCTCAGAGTATTTCACAAGTGGAAGTTAGTGTCCCTCGCACGTTTAAATAAAGAAAAAGATCTATTACTCTCAGGTAAAAAGGACAGGACGATGATTGAATGAATCGTATTTTGATTCAGGTCCGTGTTTTCTGTGTCATGATCGTGAAACAATATTTCTCGGGCGGTTTACTCGCACCGGTATGTCAAAGGAATGTCAGGAATCTTGGTGCAGGGTTATTAAAATACATTCCAGGAATATGTAGACAGTTTACGAGTAAAATTGACTGTTGTATTCACAATTCGATAAGTGGTGGTTCACCTTAAATTCAAAGTTCGGCGCTCTATGCTTTCACTACCCCGGGGGAATTACGGAAAATGTCAAAGCGGAAAGACCGCCGATAACTTTCAATGTAATAATGCAAAAATGCCGATCTTGACCATGTAACGCGTCCAAGTCTGACTAATATATCAAATATTCATCTAAATGGGGTAGATGCAAATCGTAACGCGTGGTAGTGATTCATCCTATCAAGGTTAAACTAACCCCTATCTTTAGGTAAAAAAAAAGTAACAGTATTCACCTGGCAGTTATCGATAAGTTGATTGTCCATAATGTAGTCGTAATTAGCTTGCAAGGCAGACCAAAAATCGTCTTTTTGCTCGCTTGCCGTGCTGCCGCCAGTGCTGCCCCAGGATCTTCTCCAATATTCTTCCCCATGCTTCTTCTTCTTGAGACTGCTGCACGTTCTTATCTTAACACCTTTATCCGGCGTATCGGGCGAAGCTTGTAGGGAAGACAATGAGAAACTCGCCTTCATCGCAGAATTTTCGAAACCTAACAAAACTAGATTGAAGGAGTGAAAGAAGTCGACTCGAGATCTTACCGCTTCCGACTGGCATGGTGATTGATCTTTTAATTTACAAAGGGTACGGTGACATTTAAAAATTTAAATGGGAAGATGAGAGCCTTTCATGATACGGTGAATTTGAACACATCTGAAAATGATATAAGAAAAACCTGTTTAATGAAAGCAGCCGGGCCGTCAGGCGTGCAGTTGTACTATCAGGAGCACGCGTATCGTGTTATGATAATACGACTTTTCGAAAAAAAAACAGCTGCATTGCCGATAATTGGACTATTGCAAATTTTTCTAGGTTAGAATTTGGATAAACGAAAATTAAAATTGAACGATTAGAGTAAAAAATTAGGTTTTGATCACAGTGTAAACTAAATCTTAAGTCTACTTCCAATAATAAGAAAATTCACTTACTAATAATTATGTACTTAGTTTAAAAACATAACACGGTATCCTATGAGTAATTTCCTTCTTACATCATTCATTTAATTCCTAAAGCACATTCCGTATTGACACTGTCACACGCGAATTTTTAAATAAAACTTCACCGTACCAAAAATACGAGAGATAAAATTTTGTGACCATCTCCTTCGACAAGAACGAGTACACACCGGTAAAACCGTCCATTGAACACTAGCGCACGCGCAACGTACCTTGCAGGACTTTGAATTATTTTTTTAATTTTATTCGGCGCTATTTTATAGTTTAAAATACGTTAGTGCTCTTATCATTAACTACACCGTTAGCGGTTGCTTCATCTTTATTCTCGGAATTGTTCTCGTTATTTGAAATTTTTGCGTGTATCATCCGCGAAAATGACTCGAATTTTAATTAAGACAATTTTATAAAATGTCAACGTCCTTTGGGCGTTCCAGGTTTATACCTCTTGCGATTTCATTATAAACGCTTGGAGAATGACAGTCCCATCGGCCCCTTATGCTAGGCATCGCATCTTACACCTATCCAACAATTCGACACACAATAAAGATGTTGATGGCATTCGATAACGTCCGTCTGGTTTCAGGATTTTGGGAGAGGGTGAACTTATACGTAGTCCGCCCCACGCTTGAGGTAAACTTTGAGGGCACCTGCAGGGGGCATGTTCGGCCAATATGTAGTACACCCTTATTAAGACGAGGACACTCAGAAACAATGTAGTCTTTTCGCCTCCTCTACAGGAGAGTGTTTCACACCAGCACATGCATTCCAGTCCAAGCCTAGAAGCCCCATTGCTTATTGGGTTATTTTTCCCCATGTTTCTTGTTAGCCGCTTCTACTTTCCATCTACTTATCCCTAGCTTCTTGACGTCTGTAATAAATCTACCATCAAACTTTAGGCTTTAATCAAATAAAAAATATGACATTAATTAATCAAAGCTGTCTATATAATATAAAGTGAACCATTTAATATTAGCACATTTTCCCCTCGTTATTTTGAAACGTAGTCTTGTATATACAACGGTAGTTTTCTTTCTCGTTGCGATCTTCTTTGTTCTTCTGTTAATACTGGGTTGGGGAAGGAATTGGATTCAATGACAGGAACTTCTGATACATGAGGAACAGCTGGATCAGATTCAAAACTGTGATCTTGACCTGTAGATTCTTCGCGACCAAAAATTGAACTGTCCCCTGTTGGAGCCAAATGTTTTAAAGAAACCGTAACTTCCTTCCCATTTGCCCGTCGGATTAAAGCATATTCTGAATTTGCAGATCCACTTCTTCGACCAATGGACTGTACTTGGAAGTTCGTACATGACTTTTCATTAGAACCTTTCCTGGATTTGCTAACCAAGAAGGTATAGCTATTCCATTTGTCGAACGACCTGCATGGAAGAACATCCTTTCGTGAGGAGTGCAATTTATAGATGTACATAAAAGGGAAAGTAATGATTCTGGCAAAACTTCTTCCCATCGCGAAGTCTCTCATCCCTTATTCTTCATAGCCAAAGACATGGTTTTCCATAAAATTCCATTATACCATTCGACAAGTCCGTTGCTCTGAGGGTTATATGGAGTAGACGAACTCGTAGCGATGCCTTGTGTATGGAGATAGTTAATGAGATCTTTCGAGAGAAATGATGTTCCTCTGTTAGAATGAATATATGCAGGAGTCCCGAATATGGAGAAAAGATGGTAAAGGTTTGTTTTAATTGTAGCAGAGGTCATATCCCGACAGGTGTAGGCAAAAGGAAATCTTGTATATTCGTCAACAATAGTCAAAATATACGTATTCGTTAGAAGGGACTGGTCCTTTAAAATCTACATTGAGCCTTTCGTATAGTCTTGTAGCTTTAATCAGATGATTTTCTTGACATTTATAGAATCGAGGTTTCAATTCTGCGCAAACGGGACATGCAGAAGTGATTTGTTTAATTTTTTCTAAAGAAAAAGGTAGATTCTTTGATTTGATCCAGTGATACATTCTGGTAACTCCTAGATGACACAGAGATTTGTGTAAGTTATACAATTCATCGTGATTTGTAGCTCCACAAATCCTCGATAACGCGTCAGCTACTTTGTTGAGAGAACCAGGACGATATGAGATATCAAAGCTATAACAAGACATCTCTAATATCCATCGCTGAATTTTATCGTTTTTGATTTTACTTGTATGTTGCAAATTGAACATAAACGACAACGCTTCCTGATCAGTAATAAGTTTGAAATGTCGATTGCACAAAAAAAGTCTCCACATTCTAATACTCTCAATAATAGCAGTAGCTTCTTTTTCTATTGTAGGGTACTACTTTTCACTTTCGGTAAGGGTTCTAGTAAAGAAAGCGACAGAACGTCCGTTTTGTGTGAGAGCTGCAGAGATAGCAACATCTGAAGCATCTGTTTCGACAACTAGAGGAAATTGCGGGTCCACACATACGAGTAAAGAGTTGGCAATGTCTCTCTTAAATTTTGAAAAAGCTGATGTGGCTTCTTTTGATAAAGGAAACGATTTGCTATTCATCAGAGGTCGAATCTTTTCAGAGAATCGTGGAATCCATTTCGAGTATTAAGCAAACATACCGACTATTCTCTGTAAAGATCTGTTATCACTAGGCGGATAAATTTCCAGCAAAGGCTTCAAACGATCGGGGTCCGGTTTGATCGAACCTTCACTTATAAGATGTCCTAACAGTTTAATGGAAGTAGTAGAAAATTTATTCTTCTTCTCGTTTAATTTGATATTGTATTTCTTTGTTACTTCAAGGAATTTATTAAGATTTTCGTCGTGTTCAGCTTTACTGCGTCCGCCAATCGTAATGTCGTCAATGAACCCCGCAACATTTTTCAGTGTCGACTATTTTATCAATAAATTTTTGGATTGCCGGTACCCCGTTAGTGACACCAAAAGGAAGTCTTGTAAATTGATACAGTCTCCCGCAAGCTTCGAATGCCTTAAACGGTCGTTCATCAGAACAAATGGGAACTTGATGGTAGGCCGACTCAAGGTCTATTGTGCTAAAATGACTATATTTGGCTACTTCCGAGATCACCTCTTCCACACATGGTGCTGGGTAAGCATCTAATTCGGTGAATTTGTTTATAGTATTTGAATAATCTATGACCATGCGTTTTTTATGATTAGCATTTTTAGTAACTATGACTTGGGCCCTCCAAGGAGAGGAACTCTCCTCAATTATTCCGGCTTGAAGGAGCTTGGTTACTTCTTCCCTGATGAATTCATTATCTTCTGCTGAATGTCGTCGTGACTTTGTTGCAATAGGTTTCACATTAGGGGAGAGGTTTGAAAAAATTCGAATTGGTTCTATATTTACATGAGGACACTGTAGCGCTAGATATAGAAAGGGGCGGGTTGGGACCACCAAAATTAACATCAAGTCGCGAATGCGATTTTAAGATATCATGGCCCACAATAATATCAGCACATAAGTTTGGTAAGACTAATAATTTGGTGTTTATATACATGTGATCTAATATTTTCAGATCTATTTTAACACATCCTCTTACACAAGATGACAATGAGGTAGATGCCATGGATACTGTAATTGTACCTTCAGGGAAAATTTCAAACCCATTAATAATTGTAAATTTCTCATTGATATAACTGTTGGAGCTACCAGTGTCAATTAGGCATTGTGCTATTTTTCCATTAATGTTTGCTACTATAGTAGCTTTAGATAGAGTTGATAAGGAACTAGCCCCAACAATACTTGCAATGAATGTTTCTTCCAAAGATGATTTGGGTTCAATTGAATCATTAAGAGCTGCAGAAGTTTTAACAGTTCTATTAGTCTTCTTGGAAAGGCATACTTTTGGATAATGTCCAGCTTTAGTACAGTTCGTACAGATAAAATCACGAGCTGGGCAAACAGAGCGCGGGTGACGAGATCTTCCGCAAAAGTAACATTTGTAAGTAGTTCCAGAACGTGTTGAATAACATTGGTTATTAGATATTCCATCAGAATTTGATGTACTTGTGTACGTTTCTGAATTTTTAATTGCTCTTTCAATTGATCGAGCATTTTCTTCTGCTTCATCTAGTTCAAGGGACTTGTTCTCTAAAAGTCTCTGTCGTATGTTAGATGAAAATAAACCTGCAATAAAGGCGTCTCGAATGTAATCTTGTTTGTTTTGTTCAGCAGATACCGCCTTAAAATGGCATTCCTTGGCTAACGACTTGAGAGCAGTCAAATACTGATCAATTGATTCTGTTGAGAGTTGTTTTCGAGTTGCAAGTTGATGTCTAGCATAAATCAAGTTTTTCGGTTTCACATAAAGGGCTTTAAGAATATCTATAGCGGCTTGGTATGTTTTACAATCGTTAATGTATTCAAATACGTTAGAAGATAAAAAATTTGACAGTACCTGCAACTGATCTTCGTCTTTCACTACATATTCGGATTTTTCAGTGAAGTTTTCGAATAGTCGAATCCAATGAAGCCATTCTTGTTGAGCCGTAGGACTATCAGGGTTTGAAGAAAACTTGTCTGGTTTAAAGAGCTTTTCCATTTTATTTTATTTGATTAAATTGTAATAAATTTACCATCAAACTTTAATCAAATAAAAAATATGACATTAATTAATCAAAGCTGTCTATATAATATAAAGTGAACTATTTAATATTAGCACAACGTCTTGTTCGGCATTCTTTGTGGTAGCCATCTTAGTATTCTTATTGTGATTGGCTTAGCTACTGGTATAGTTCTTTGATCTTTTCGCTCGCTGTTCTTGACCGTTTGTTGTTTTTCCTCTGAATATTTTTAGTAAGTTATATCCGTTTAAACAATACAAATATAGTTCATTCAGAACTTGATCGTTAACATTCAATTAATTATAACAATTATAACAGCATTACCCAAGATGACGTTGCCAATTTTGAACCTAACATAAGATAATTGAACCACGTTCGCTATTTTCGGAAGAAACATGGACTCCAGCAAGATGTTGATCATGGGCGTTAAGAGGAAGGCACAACGCATCTGTCACCAGATGAAATAACCTACTGACACCTGACTTGTTCTTTAACGATATTTGTTACCTCCTTCCTGTGTAGTTCCAATGTTGGTAAGTTGTATAAATCCGGCGTTTAAACAATACAAATATGGTTTATTGAGACCTTGATCATTAACATTCAATCAATTATAAATGATAACTTGGATCCATCCCATCTCCTCCTTTCAGTAACCGAAGAAAAATCCGGTTTCTTCTTGTTTCTTTTTTTTTGGGGGCATTTAAGTATTAAATTTTTGATTATCTTAACATTGGACTCGGCGTGACCATTAGATTGCGTAATATTGTGATATTGGAGCCCAAGTTTCGACAGAAGTGGGAAAAAGAAACGCGGTTGTTAGCAATAAACGGTTCCTCTCGTTGAGACTTTTAATTAGAATACCATTAAAGATACAATAAATTTCTCAAATTCTTCTTCTTAAAAAAATGCGATAAAAATGGAACTAAAATAGGAATGGAAGGAGGGCGTAAAAAGTGGAAAAATCGATCTTTCTATCTAAATGTACTTCATACTCCTCCCTAAGCTTCTAGAAGTTTGTTATCAAATTCGTCTAAAAGTTCCATCAAGTTTTCCTAAAATCAATTGTTCTCTGAGGCTTCCCCTTAAATCCCCATAGAGTTGGCGCCCTTGAATCCTCCAATTTCCTATTAAGTCCCACATACGAAATGGACTACCCAAAACGGTATTTCGCCAATTTTTACGGGACAAGTAGAAAAGGGTTTTCCTATGAAAATGCGCGTATTAAAGAAATGGATGCTTTGTTGTTTATTGATCGATATTGATGTAAACTTAATCCTAATATAACATACAAACTGGGCTATCTAAAGTTTCAATGACTAGTGTCCACACCAGTTTTTCCGTGGAAAATGGAAAACCGTTTTAATCTTATATAACTTAACGAAGTGGGCTATCCGAAACGGTATTTGAATGGCTTGGGACGCACTAGCTTTTCCGTGAAAAGTGGAAAACCGTTTCCCTATGAAAATGCGCAAAATGCAAATATTTTTGCGTTTGCCATCACCTTGTATCAAGCTGAGAATCTGTTGAAACTCAGTAGGAATAATCTACAGTTATTACCAAGATCACTAAGTGTCTATTGAAAAACCATTTGCGCCAAATGGGCCTTGACGTAGTGACGTAGTAAGAACCTCTACATATACTGTTAGAGGGTACAATTGCCCCGAGACCGCGGCACAGGAACTAAAGTAGGATTCTCATATTATGTTTTCGATTTTATTAACTAGGAGCAGTTTCAGCAGATTCAAGCTAGGGACCTTCTTGGTCACAATCAAACTGACGAGCAAAAAATGCTTTGTACATAATCACAATTACCATTGAATATTGAATAACGAATTTCACTCAACGTATTTACTAATAGACCTCATGTGTATAGGCATCACTCATTACGCACGCCTGGATTTAAAGTTGCATAACGATACCGTAGGTCGATATACAGGATTTTTAGCAAGTTGGAGGGCGCATTAGTGAAGCAGAGGATATGTATGGTGGGATGGTAGAATCATGGACAGACGAAAATAAAGAACAGCATTCCGAGTGAATACATAATGGAAGAACCAATTTGGGAAGTGGGACACTATAAAGAGAAGAGCAAAACAAGGTAAGAGGTAAAAAAATGAATAAGGAAATGGGGGGATGAAAGGAAAGAGGAAACAGTCAAACGAGGGAAAGTGGAGGGAAAGAAAATGAGTGATAACCAAGGACGTTTAACGATATACAACAGAGAAGGAATAAAATAGAAAATATTGCAGATGAAAGGTAGGAAAGGAGGCTAGAACAGGAATTAAAGGAAAATGGGCAGAGATGGGAAGAGAAACAGAGGATAGAAAATTGAAAGATTGAATTTATGAAAAAAGAGTGGTTGGGGATTTTTAAACGGAAATATGGAGAGAGATAGGAACAGGCAATTCACCTACATGGGAGGAAGAGGGGGATCGGTAATATATACAATAGTAAATGAAAAAATACTGGAGGAAATAGATGAATTCAGTTGGTAGGAACGCGGATAGAATCCGATTATCAACCGATTGAATTGAGTCTCAAAGGGAAGATAAGAAGAACAAGAAATAAGCAGATTGATACTGAAATATTTATGTGAAGGCAAGACAATCTGGGAGATTATTCAGATGTTGAAATGAGAAGAGAAGGAACGAGAATAAATGGAGACAAGAAGAATGAAAATGTGAGAGGAAGAAGAGAGCATACAACACCGGTTATGCAATTGCAAAGTGGAAAGGACAGGGCGGTGCTGGAAGAGGTGAGAGCGATACTAACGAAAATAGGAAATCACATTTTAGTTTTTGTAAAGTGTTGAAGTCTAATAAAAATTGATTGATTCAGGGGCGGACTGGGTAACTGCGGGCCAGGTGGAATTGCGTAGGTTACGGGCCATTAAAGTATTAGTGTAGTAATGAAGGTGGCGGGGGGTTAGCTCTGAGGTGCACCTAACAACCTAACATCAACCCCAATTAGAGAAACGTGTTAATAATTTATTAATAGTGCAAGAAACTAAATACAGCACATATTATAAATTTCCAACGGACCATTATGATCTACAGGCCAGGTGGCAATCCCCCCCCGCCCCCCCCCCGGCCCAGTGCGCCCCTGGTCATACACTGCCTTTTTTTGAGCCCCCCAAAAAAAATTGTCTCAGATCGACCCGGGAAAAAAAATTTTCTTATAGAATGTGGCCTGTAGAATCCATAATTTCAAACACTTCCAAGATTGGGCTACTAGTTCAAAAGTTACAGCCCTTTGAATTTTTTTCGAAATTGGTTTCTAGTCTATAACTTTTGATTGAGAAGTCTGATCGAAAAAGTAGGAATTGATTTGGATTCTACGCACCAAAATTAATAAGAAAAAGTGTTTTCCCGAGAATTTTGGTGCAGTCAATTTTTGGAAAAAAAGGAAGGTTGGACACTGCCTTTTTTTTGAGGTCCGAAAAAAAATTGTCTCAGATCGACCGGAAAAAAACATTTTCTTATAGAATGTGACCTGTAGAATCCATAATTTCAAACACTTCCAAGACTGGGCTACTAGTTCAAAAGTTACAGCCCTTTGAATTTTTTTTCGAAATTGGTTTCTAGTCTATAACTTTTGATTGAGAAGTCTGATCGAAAAAGTACGAATTGATTTGAATTCTACGCACCCAAATTAATAAGAAAAAGTGTTTTCCCGAGAAATTTTGGTGTAGTCGATTTTTGGTAAAAAAGAAAGGTTATACACTGCCTTTTTTTGAGCCCCGAAAAAAAAAATTGTCTCAGATCGACCCGGAAAAAAAATTTTCTTATAGAATGTGGCCTGTAGAATCCATAATTTCAAACAGTTCCAAGATTGGCTACTAGTTCAAAAGTTACAGCCCTTTAAATTTTCTTTCGAAATTGGTTTCTAGTCTATAACTTTTGATTGAGAAGTCTGATTGAAAAAGTACGAATTGTTTTGGATTCTACGCACCAAAATTAATAAGAAAAAGTGTTTTCCCGAGAAATTTTGGTGAAGTCGATTTTTGGTAAAAAGGAAGGAAATACACTGCCTTTTTTTGAGGTCCGAAAAAAAAATTGTCTCAGATCGACCCGGAAAAAAAATTTTCTTATAGAATGTGGCCTGTAGAATCCATAATTTCAAACAGTTCCAAGATTCGGCTACTAGTTCAAAAGTTACAGCCCTTTGAATTTTTTTTCGAAATTGGTTTTTAGTCTATAACTTTTGATTGAGAAGTCTGATCTAAAAAGTACGAATTGATTTGGATTCTACGCACCCAACCCAAATTAATAAGAAAAAGTGTTTTCCCGAGAAATTTTGGTGTAGTCGAATTTTGGTAAAAAAGGTAAGTTATACACAGGGGCGGACTGGGTACTTACGGGCCATTAAAGTATTAGTGCAGTAATGAAGGTGGCGGGGGGGATTAGCTCTGAGGTGCACCACAAAAACATTTTAAAGTACTCCTTTCTCGAAAATAAATTACCATACTTACAGTTTTTTTTAAATTGCAGCTGATAATTAAAACAAAATATACAATCCACACGAGGCGCGTCGCCTATCATTGTATTTCAGCACTTTCATGCTACGACAAAAAATGATAAATTCATTGTAAAACACTTCAATTAAAACAGAACTTTTTCACAACCTAACATCAACCCCAATTAGAGAAACGTGTTAATAATTTATTAATAGTGCAAGAAACTAAATACAGCACATACTTATAAATTTCCAACGGGCCATTATGATCTACAGGCTAGGTGCCAGTCCGCCCCTGGATTGATTGATACTAATAGGACTTCAAAAGTGCAGTACCTACTGTAGATACGTTTAGACTGTCAGGTTTTGTAACATGCAAAAACTTGATAGCTTTTTATTATAAACATATCACATTATCACAATATAAAAATTATCACAATACCAAGTCACATGTTAAAATGATAATAGATTTTTACTTTTATTTTTAATTAGTTTATCAGGAAGTAAAACACAAAGGAAAATATCTTGCATAATCTATTCTCGTTCACGTTTGAATTGTGGGCTCGAGTTGGAGCGCTGCAACCTTTTGACCTTATGTGAACCTGTATCAACGCTTGATAACATACGCAGCAAAGACGAAGATAGATTATCTGGCGTAACTGAAGTGGACATCAAACTATTCTGTCGTCTAATGGGTCTCAAAGTTTTTACACTGCTCACCAGGTTCGGTTCAGTGGCACGTCTAAACTTTGAACTTGGTGGGTCCTGCAAACAACAAATTACAAATACACCTACAAATTGTGATTGAGTAATTAATTTATTGAAGTACCAAATTGATATGATCAATTGCTAAACCTGTGTCTTTGCAATAGCAACGAGTCTGACCTAATAACTTTTCTAGTAGAAAACTCTGGTCCTGAGGTTGTTGTTCCGGTCAGAGGTCGCATAAGAACTGATGATAATAAACACACTGAAAGGGTAAGGGTTGAAGGGGGAAGGAAGGCTTCAATGCAGCAGTTGCAATAACGCATTTGTGTTTGTGTTTAAAGACTATATGACATGCTACCTTCCACTTCCATTGTAAACACATTTTTGGGAGCTCGCGATCTCTCTACACAGTCATTTTGTTGAAAAAGTTTTGATTTTTTCAGGACATTTGAAGATTATTTTTGCATTGAATTTTACGGAACTTTGGATTATTGGCGATTGTGTTCTTGGATTTTGAATGATTTAATTCTGGTATGTGGTCTGAGATGCCTAAATCAAAATCGTTATAACTAATTTTGAAGATGGGATTAACTACTTGGTATTATATTTAAATTTGTAACATTACTAACTCAGTTCGACAAATACAGCTGAACCTAACGAAGATACCACCTGCTACTTACACTAACTTTCTTGAGTTTCACTTTTAAAATGTCATCAAGTGAAATGATTGGTTGCACTATTTCTCTTGGCTTCTTCTTGTCTACTAATTTAGTCTTGCTCACAGCCACAGGTACTGTGGGTGGAACCAGTACTGGAGGAGGAGGTGGTGGTGGTGGTGGAGGTATAAGCTGCACGGGCGCTACCGCACCAGTGCTAACCAAGTCTCTTCTATTTTGCTCAAGATTCAACAACTGTTGTTTGACAGATTCCCAGTCTTTCTTGTTGTCGTCCCGCATCCTTTCCCAGTCTTTCTTGTTTTCTTCGCGCATTCTCAACATCTCGGAGTGCAAATTTTCTACACTACTGGTTAACTCTGTGATCTTGTTGTGATATTTGATACAGTTGTTACAGACAGAGTGCGTGAAATATTGCGTACTGTACAAATTGTAGACTGAAATTAAGCCCTGAAAAGGGGTTAACGAGTATGAATATTGTGATCAAAACCAATGATTCAATACAATAAATAAGATAAGCCACCTCCCTTAGTAAAAAGCTGTGATAAATTTTAATGGATCTATCTTAATAGCCAATTTTGTTAAAATGAACGTCTCTAATCTCCGGGTTATTAAACTCTGGCGGTGCTACCCAGAACTATGTATAATCAATGCCCAAACTCACCTCCTTCAATGTGGTCCACAGCCACATACACAATTCGATAACCTGGATGAACAATTGATATTTTTTGTTGAACTTCTCCAGTTTAGAACTGTTATGTGTATACACCTCGATTGTGCACGTCTCAAATGAATGCTCGTTTGAGATCCGTTTCATAGGTGGAAACTTTACAGACTCCGATGTTTTATAGGTACGTCTACGTGAAAGCGTCGGCTGTGATGAGCTCATTTGGACCATTTGGATATTCGCGACTGATGGTGTTGAAGTAAAATTGCACTGTAACAGTGAGGGGGTATAAAATGAATGCTCAGTGTCATTATCAACTGCACAGCTACTTTCGAGACATTCCCCTTGTGAAGTGTTTTGAATAATGTCATTAAATTGCCGAAGATGCTCTAAACGAACCCTGTTAATAGTTCGACTGCAACTTAAACCCCTTTGCTGCACATTCATTCCTTGTAAATTATTTAGATCTTCAACACAAGCGGCGCTGTTCCAACTAGAATCTGTTCGCTTAAATGGACTAATTTGAGGTGTTTGTGTGATTGCATGGAGAGGTGTGTGCGCCTCAATTCGAGAGCTAGTGTAACAACCAGTTCTAGAACTAAAAAGCTCCTTTACACCAAAATAATTTAAGCTAACATCAGGTGTCTCGTAGTGAGCCTCCTGTGGTAGAGAGTGCATAATTGGAATTTCATCTTTTGATGTGGGAGTGAGACAAATAGAGGTGTCTTCGATGTGTGATCTCATTTGAAAGTCTTCAACTTCTTGCATTTGTTCCTGTGGTTTTTTTTTCCGTGGCATTTTTAATAGGCTCCTTATCAAATGACTACAAATTTCACCTCCGGCTAAAATGTTACAGATTTTATTGTGTAAGAGGTATAAACTAAAATACTAACCCACTAACCGTATTAAATCAAAGACTTCTTCAAAATCTCAATTAATAAACATTCAAAAATACGTCCTTAACCGGCTACAAACCGTTGCAAACCACAGAAGGCAGACACGTCAGAGAATGTGAATTTAAAAAATACCACAGAACTATACAGTCTATTTACAAATCATTATACAGGGTGTAAGAGATTAAGTTGTATGCTCATACCGGGTTCTTAGAGGACCATCATACCTACGTCTTTATACTATGACTTACCCTAGAAGCCCAGATTTTCCCTTCTAGTGTGCATGGGCATGGAAAACCGTTTCCAAAGTCCAACTTCAACGACTTTAGTAAGTAGCAGGACGAGACTAGGAAACGTTGTGCAGTCCGTGGCCGTGGATTGTGACTTAATCGCCTGGACTAACAAGACTTTGAGAGCAAGCTGCCAATCGCCCTGGCAACTACCTCTTGGGGGACGCCCCAAGCGACATCAATCGAAAAGAGGTAAAGAAACCTATTCAAAAGGCAAAGCACAGGAGAACCAACACTAAAATCTGCAGCTGGTACAAACTCCCGGATGGCGTTTGTTCAGCAAGATCCATAGAGTGCGTTACCCGAAGAGGAAACAGGGCACATTAAGACTTGGATCCTCAGCGGAATTGAAAATCTTGATGTGGAGATGGTTTCTCCCCGCTACACAGAGTGCAGCCGACACAATAGGGAGAGGTCGTGCACATCACTATAGCCCTAACCAGGCCAATGTGGATTGGTTAGAAGTAAATGGTCTTGGGAAAGCCAAGAAGCTTCCCAAACCTATGATAGCAATTATGGTACCGATACCAGGGCCTTAAGATGAATCGGAGAAAATACTCAATTAGGGCGTAAGCAAAACCATGGACAGACAGGAGATGTCCAAAAGGCAACGGTCAGTTGTCCGGATGAACCGGACTTCCTAGAACAAGCTGGGTGTGCAGAAATCAAGTTGGCCCTATATAAGAAACTCCTAAAAGAAAAACTTGGGGATTACCCTTCAAAAACAACAGTACTGTAGAGTTTGAAGAATAATCTCCGAATGGCCGAAAATAGATGCGTTCGAAGCAGCAAAGGAACAGTAAGTGTCAGTAAGTGCCACCATGGGCTTAACTTCGATGCGGGCAGGGACTCGGAGACTTTTTAATGCGGCCAAAAGAACAGGACGAGCTCCCACCCGAATTCATCGTGACAGTGACTGTGGCACATGAACAACCGAAGTGGTTCGCAACAATCTTCAATCAGACATCTTCGTGGTAGCCAGTACCCCGCCGATAAGATTCCTTGTACAGATCCGAGAGGAGACCGCCCGTCCGAAATCATAGAGATGCGGCAAGATGAATGTAATGGAAAACAATCCTTTTCTCGGGAAATGGTGAGAGATAGCAAGAGACGAAGAGTGCACTTTCAAATTTGATTTTAATAGGACATTTCATGCCTTAACAAGAATAAAAACGTGAAATAATTTTTAATTTATGATCGAATGACACTAATACCCAGTCTGTAAGTGGTGTAGTTCCGCAGCCGGACAGACAGACAGACATCAAGAGTGCAATTTTTTTTTTGAGTGTGAGAGTGGATTAAAAATGGACCAATAGCAACGGCGAAATCAGCTCTGACATACTAACTGACTACTACAGTAGTTATGAGGCAAGGCGCCCCTCGAGGAACGTTTTGTGAGCCTCCTGAGGGAGGTCAACGCTCGTTATTAAAAATGGGACAAAGTAACAAGATGATCAGGGCTTTATGGATTTATAGAGCAATGGAAAGAAGGGGAGTCTACGCTAAAAAATTATCTACTGGATATACGCATGATAATGCGACCTTAGTGTGGTGAGACGGACTGAGACTCGTGTCAGTGGGTCAGACTAAACTAAACTGTTTAGGTATAAAATGCGCCTACAGGTCTGGAGACTCTTCTAAACCTATACCGTCGCTACACCTTGTGAAGAGGGCGGAGGGGCTTACAGATAAAAGATAAAATCTGATAAGGGGATGCAAAAACCCTGACAGGATGCAACAATCTTCCAGGCAGGGGTGTTTGCACTGACAGTCAGGCAGCAATAAAAGGTGCTGGGGGCTCAAGAGTTGAATTCTTGTTGTGGAATGCATTCGAAACCTCAGCCAACTGTAGACAAATAACATCAAGCTGATATAAGTACCCGGGCACGAAATTGCGGACTGACTAACTAAAGGAAGGTCGGCAGTTGAACAAAGCTCAACCGACTTGTGGAATCCTACATGTAACGGTGGAAAAAGAAATGAAAACCATTTTAAAACAATGGCATGATATATACTGAAAGAATATCTCTGGTCAGACGCTAGCCAAAGGGCCATGAAGACCTGCTGAAAAATCAGTAAGAATGATTTTTATACCTATGGACCGATTTATAATTGTCGAATGACCAGAAACAATTTTGAATCGAATTACATGGGACAAACCTGCGATGATTGGGGCATTTAATGAGAATGATAAGTAATAAATGACCTCCTAGTAAAAAGAAAGGGGAAAGAAAGTGGTATTGCTGGTATGAAAGATTCGAAAAAACAGTGGAAAGAAGAGGACCGTATAAGCATGCTTGGTTGCCTAACATATTCCGCAGATATTATTATCGGAAGTTTAAAATTACAGACTGCAGACCGGTGTAATAATGTTGGCGATTACAGGATGGCGCTCTATTTAAAAAATGGCGGAAACTCAACGGCGTTTAAAAAAACCGTTTTCGCTTTGTATTTACCCCGTTCTTTCGTTACATTTAAATCGTTTGCATCGGTTATGGCACCGTAATCGCATGGTGCTTGCGTGAATGCAAGCTGCGTTCAAAAAATGCCTTGTTATAGTTTCGCGTGCATTAAGGCGGGATTGTAGCTTCGATTCATCTACGCCATCTCGATTGGTAATAAAGGAACGGTGATGGTTCGCATAAGGTAACGAACGGAGACAAAGCTATTGTGTTCTGGTTTTCGTAGCTAACGTCGCGTTCGCGATTTTGGGATGTTAGTCCCTTTGCATGTATTTATTGCATTGTAGACAGTGCTCAACGTTTCTACAATGGCGCAGAACTGCTATGAGGTAGATGTTTTTGTTATAAATAGTGACGGTTGCTTATCGCCAAAACTTCCAAAATGTGTTCAATTAAGATTGGATTACGACCCTGAGGGACTTAATATTAAAATAATCAATGGTAAGTACAGTGTTTTATTCTATTAGAAGGGTTTGTTTTGGTGGTCGAGGGTTCAACTGTGCAATATTCAACTTACCGGTGTTTTTTATTATTCATCCGTTAATCAATTTCTTTGTTTTTGCAAACATTGGGGATAAACTACCAGTATGTTTGCGATGAATAAAACAATCTGCTAATTGAAAAACCGAAACTGGGTATGATATGTATTTGCCATGTGATGGATCACATGAAAAAAATTTGGTTATGTTTCACCAGAAACCAAAACATTTGCGTGTCCCTGCCTATTGTTATACTCACCACCTGCGCTTAATTGGGAAATTTTTTTAATTATAAGGGTTCGGCACGTCTACCTCTTCAACAAATACGAAAATAAAACATTTCGCGTGCCTTTTAGTCGGCGACGCCGGTACCAAAATCGCCTTAATATGCAATTAAAAAGAAGTGATGAGTATCAACGGTTTGTTGTTTTTTAGAATTGCTCAAGGGGTAGCTTTTCGTATTCTGCCACCTTTAATAGGGTTTACTACGTATAAAGACGCAACCCCTTCATGCCTGTTAAGAGTTGAGACTTTCAATTGATATGGTCTGAACAATGTAGAATTAATTAATACGTAAACGCCGCAGCGATATGGACGAACATGGCACAGGCAGATCGACAGAAGTCAGGGATGTCAAACAACCTCTCGAAAGTCATTTCATTTTTGTTTGTAAACGTTTCGATATCATAAATAAAAAGTTAATGTCCTCAAAACGTGTATTTTATTATGATTTAAGTGTGTCTAGAAATATATACTGACATGAATAGATTCTAGACATTTGTACCTAGGAATAGTAGGTGTATTATTATATTTTATAAGAATGAAAAGTGTACCAGTTTCCTCCCAAAGAATAATGGCGCAAATCCATTTTCATGTACCTATATGTGATCTACGCCAATAAATAAACACTACTTAATAGAGCATGTGTTACTCGACCAATACTGACAGGCACACTTATCTGATCTCGAATCTTATTGACGCTATTTGGGGGTTGATTTGTATAGATCTGATGTCAATTGTAGACATGATATATTTAGTGCCCAAATCTCTATTGATTAAGAATTTTTTGCATATTATTAAGCTCGTTATTAACAATCAAAGAAGGAGGCAAATGAATTTACGCCCACCAGGAAGTTTGTATCTACAACCTTTTTTCGAGTGTTCAATGTTCATATAACCAAAATTCAGTCTCTTATTTGGCAATCTTATTTTTTCTCATATCTTTATCTACATGGTAGGGTTTTATGTTTACTTAAGTAAGTACATTTTTATTTTGTAATGTTGTTCTAGAATTGTATGTACATTTGTGTTAGTTTAGTCTGGGAATTGTTATTATTGTTAAAAACATAGCATTCAATTACATTTTTTTGCGTAATGATCTCGGTAATGATAGATAATGTTCTTCCAAGAATATTCAATCAAGAAACACAAACAACCCCACTTTGGAGCGACGTGTGCAGATGCAATTAAGTATAATCACTGACAGTGAAAATCGAAAATCGAACATTAACTGCGTATGATGTTTTGAAAATGACTTGTATTATAATTAACGGCAGGGGGTATTTCGACTCGAATTTGTTGACCATTCCTAGTATCGATTAATTGAACAGAAATAGTGCGATGAAAAAAACGTCTGCTATTTTGCATACTGCGTATTTGCCTCGGTATTTGCTTTGTACACTTTGAAAGGTAAATTTGTTGCTTTAGTAAGAACCGAGGTAAGAACACAGCAGGTCCTTTACGAAATCGTGTTGTTGTGTGTGTGTCCGTCCGTCTGTGCCCACGATAACTTTCGAACGGAAGGTCTTGCTCTTGGAGTCTTGAGACTTGGTATTTCATTAGTCCTGCTGAACTTGAGGGTCAAATGGATACAAGCGTGAACTTTGGGTCCTTCGATAGTCCCTTGTATCTTGTATTCGTTTATTTTTATTTATATCATGATATCACCAGAGATTTGTTTTCTCTTTTCGATGACGTTAGTACCCTCATACAAGAAAATTTTTCAAACAAATTAAAAACTCTTTATTTAATCAAGTAATTATACAATAACAATACAACAAATGAACATATACGTTTCTTATTAAACCTTAAAACGAAATTAGCAATAAAATGGTTTTCAGTTATGAATATTTTGGGAGAAATTGCTGCAGCGTCTTTTTGTATTCCTTGTCCACAGATTTAAATATACTAATCTGTGCTTGTACTATTCGTCCAGAATCTGAGATGGATTTATACCTCGGTTTGTACTATACACTTATGATTTTAAATATCCTTCTTCTACCTATACAACGCATCAAAAACTAAGAATGAAGACTAATTTGTACCTAAGTTAGATTTTAATTGTTTAAACAATTTATACATACATACAATAACTTATATAAAATTATAAAGTTATAATACATTTATATAACAATAATATTCAAGTGGTTCAAATATTACATTAGATATTTTCTATTATTATTCTCATTTCTTCGAATTCTGTCGATACTCAGGCCAAGTGTGGATCAAAATCAAATAACGACTAGTCTTAGCAGGGGCGGACTGGGTAACTGCGGGCCAGGTGAAATTGCATAGGTTACGGGCCATTAAAGTATTAGTGTCTTATAGAATGTGGCCTGTAGCATGGCCTAATAAGACTCTTATTAGGCCATGGCCTGTAGAATCCATAATTTCAAACAGTTCCAAGATTGGGCTACTAGTTCAAAAGTTACAGCCCTTTGAATTTTTTTTTCGAAATTGGTTTCTAGTCTATAACTTTTGATTGAGAAGTCTGATCGAAAAAGTACGAATTGATTTGGATTCTACGCACCCAAATTAATTAGAAAAAGTGTTTTCCCGAGAAATTTTGGTCAGTCGATTTTTGGTTATTAAAAAAGGAAGGTATACACTGCCCCCCACTTTTTTTGAGCCCCAAAAAAAATTGGGTCTTCAGATCGACCCGAAAAAAAATTTTCTTATAGATGTGGGCCTGTAGATAAAACCATATTTCAAACAGTTTCCAAGATTGGGCTACTAGTTCAAAAGTTACAGCCCTTTGAATTCTTTTCTAGTCTATAACTTTTGATTGAGAAGTCTGATCGAAAAAGTACGAATTGATTTGGATTCTACACTGACAGTGATTTTTTGATATTTAAAAGCGGATGTAAAGCATTTTCCAAAGTTTGAAGACGAAAGTATGCCAAATGTTTGCCACTTTTCCTTCCGTGTTAAGACTGGGACTTCACTATATCATAGCTTTCATCTCAGCATTACAGAATTTGTTTACCGAGATAATTGATGGATAATTAGTGCAAGCATATCCGCATTATTGTAGTTGATTGTAATTACATAATGGGATAAAAGATAATGCGAACAATAATATCATTTTGCAGATAACTTATGGCATGTCACTTCTGTATGTTTATGTAATTACATCATTGACTGGCACTTTTAAGTTATTGATTGCAGCTTATCGGGCTGCTGATATTTGATCTGAACCTGGTTCGAAAATGTAGAGAATGCGATCTGATAATTTTTCTTTTGCTAACGACATACGGAGCTGGAAAGCATTTTTTGACCATTTTCGCACGATTACGATGTCAAACAAGTTGTCAAGATAGATCGGAATAGTGAAATCCGGAGATAATGCGGAGCGGCACCGACAAATAAAAATTTTAAAATTATTTTCTTTCAAAATGCGTACGCAACTTGTCCCTTTTAGGAAGTTACATGACTGCAATAAAAATGTTCATTAACTTAGCAGTCCCAACATTACATTTTGATATATTTATATCTCGATTTATATGTAACAGCGCATAATGAAGCGCGATTTATGGGTATAGTAGTGTGGTGTCCATTGGAAGAATTTTTCTTTTGAAATTGGGGGTAATCCCTTAAATAACGCCAATTAAATTACGCACACCTTTGCGAAATTATGTTTCCGACCAACGTTAATTATAGGTAAATTAAAATTAACCCGTGCGAAATTATGCGTCTATCTAACGTTAATTATTTGTAATTGGCATTAAGTCTGCCCAAATATGCGAGCAGCTAACGTAAATTCGAGCGTAAATTATATTAAATTTCAGAGAAATTTGTGTCTGTTTGAGGTAGTTGTAAAAAGTTTACGGCAGTTAAATTTAAATAGCAACTAAACCCCCAATTTTGAAAAAAATGTTTCCAAATTCCACACTATACGAAAAATAGTAGCGACCTTTCTTATATCCGTTGATATATCATTTGATTTATATATTTCCGTTTATGAATGACCCAACGGGCCGTTCTAAAAATCTTCGGAATGTTTACGGCCTTGAAACTTGATATATAGGTTCTTTTCGTCCACGTAAGAACCTACTTGAATTTGGAGTGAAGTTACCCAAATTAAGAGTGAAGTCGAAATAATGATCTGTAATTTTACATTTTTTCTGTTCTCGGATCAAGAATTTGAGGTTGCAATTTTTATTCATATTTTTAAAAAACTGACTGAATTCGTTATTTTTATGTGAGATGAGATGCTTTCGAACGAAATATTTTTGTGTCCTTGATTTATTTGGGAAAAAAGGAAGTACTTTCATCTAAGTCTAATGCGTCCTACAAATTGTTTAAAATATCTGCTAAATTTACATGTCACTTTAAACCAATTTACTCGTCTTAAATTCGTAGGTTCGCCTGTTGTCCTTCGAGCGTGCTACAGAACCTTTAAATCCATTCCCATAAAATGTAAGTTATTTTACGGGCAATAAATACTGTTTAAATTCGCTTTTATGCTTGTTGATAAGTATGTAACAATGCCTAATAAACACCTGTTACAACTCATTAAAAAATACCTACACTCGATTAATTTGTATTTCTTATCATATCATCTCGTTGGACGTGCACAGTAAAAAAATCGATATCAAAATTATCCAATTTTATTTAATTCTCATTTGGACATTAAAAAAACAACAAACCTACGCGAGATAATCCTTGCAATATATATTTTGTTGCAAATGAATACGCACCTTTCACACATTCATGTGTCATCTGCCCCCATCCCCACATGACTTACGAGTATGTTTTCGAAATTAGTACTTTTGTTTGAGTTTGGATTATTAGGACCTAGCAGCCCTGGATTTTTAGCCCCAACCTAGGCACCAATTTATATAACAATTACACATGGCGTCCTAATACCATTTTGAATTTTAAAACGTGGATCGAAACGCAATTTTTCATTATATGACCAATACGCAATAACTGCAATAAAAAAAATTGTTATAATTACGAATTGGAAAACCTTGAACTAATTGCACGAAATTGTTTCAGGTGACGGTAATGCTTGCATGGAATTACCTGTACATCCCACTACAGACTGCAGTCACGTGTCCTCCAAATCATTTGTATATAATACGGAAAATGAAACATTATTTATAAAATTTCGAGAATATCAAGGTAAGTGTCTTATGTCAGATGATGCTGTTGAAATCAAATATGCAAAAATGCCATTCATGCATCTAATAACAATTCAAGTTTACATTCATAAACAATTTGCACCAAGAGATACAATGGCGGGAAGGAGAGAAAAAATTACACCCAAATTCCCACAATTTCAATGGTTCAACCGCAACTTTAGGTGCTCCAGAACCTCTGGGCTTCTACTCAGGCTGCCCTCCTATCTGAGTCAGTTGGTTCCTTGCCTCCCTGAGCCAACAGCCCAGATACAGCCTTAGGCTTTGGTACAGGTTCAGCTTGATCCCGAGCCGACGCTTCCTAGCTATCACCTTCATTTTGGCCTATCTGGGGGCGTCATTCCTAAACAAAAAATTTAAGCCCTTCGTATATGTGGGAAAAAAATTAACTTTTGTTAAGTCATCATTAAGTCCATTTAAATTGAGACAAATGTCTAAAATTACAACTTTGGTTTAGATGCCTGCAATTTTACAATGGCAGTGAAAAAGGCTAAATCGGGTAAAGGAGCGTCCGTCTTCTCGGTGCGAACAGAAGATTCCTCAGCCACACAGTATTTTCAGTTTTACGGATATTTGTCACAACAGCAAAATATGCTACAGGATTTTGTAAGGACCTACACATACCAAAGAGCAATACTAAGCAATTTAAATGACTTCAAGGTACGTATAGATTTGCGGGCGAATTTTGTTAATAGGTAGGTACATTTTAGGACAAAGTCGTATTGGATGTAGGGGCTGGTTCCGGAATATTGTCATTCTTTGCTGCTCAAGCGGGGGCTAAACGAATATACGCAGTTGAAGCTTCAAGTATGGCTCATTATGCACAAGTATGTACTTCTACATGTCTTGTTCTTGCTGATTCTATAATTGTAGAAATTAGTCACAGCTAACAATTTACAAGATCATATAAAAGTTATACCAGGGAAAATAGAGGAAATAGAATTACCAGAGAAAGTGGATGTCATAATATCGGAACCAATGGGGTATATGTTATACAACGAAAGAATGTTAGAAACTTACCTTCATGCAAAAAAATGGCTGTTTCCTGGTGGAAAAATGTATCCAGCTCGTGGCGATCTTCACATAGCTCCTTTTACAGATGATGCTTTATATATGGAACAATTTAGTAAAGCGAACTTTTGGCAAGGATTTTATTGAAAGCTGGTGCTCGATGTAATTTCAACATTGTAGGTTTCAAACTTGCTTCCATGGTGTAAATCTGTCAGCGTTACAAAGTTGCGCTCTGAAAGAATATTTTAGGCAACCAATAGTAGACACGTTTGATATTCGAATTTGTATGAGCAAATCGATAAGGCACGTGGTAGACTTTTTAGAAGCTTCAGAAACAGATTTACACACAATTGGTATTGTACAAGTTTGCTAAAGGTCGATCCAAATTCAACACAGCGCGTTTTTTAGATATTCCATTAGAATTTCATCTTTTAGAAACTGGCACTTGCCACGGCCTAGCATTTTGGTTTGATGTCGCATTTGCAGGCTCACAACAAACAGTTTGGTTAAGTACGGGTCCCACTGAACCATTGACACATTGGTACCAAGTGCGTTGCTTACTTGAAAGGCCTCTAATAGTGAAACAAGGACAACTGCTTACCGGCAGAGTAGTTCTAGTTGCCAATAAAAGGTATGTAACTATTTTTTTTGTTTTTGTTTTATTGTTACCAGAATTTTACACCCTTTTTCTTTATTCTGTGTAAGAAACTGAAAGTGCGTTCTTACACCATTTATTGAAGCATAATTTAAAAATTAATCTCTTCAAGAACTTTCTCAAGGTTTTGTTTTTCCTAAAATCGCAAAACTTCTCGATTCTTCACATTTCAATCATTTTGCAAGGTGATGAATGATTCAGGAATCACCAACTCCAGGTACTCCAAAAATAATACCGCAATGTACGTAAATAATAAAATAGTGAGATAGAAAACATCTCCATACACTTTTGGAAAACTGCAAATTTAAGATATAACGTGCCATATTCAGATGATGTCAATTAAGCAACACAGTATGAAATTTTCAAAGGACTTAATATTCTATACCATAAAATTAGAGTTCAAAGTTGTTCTGGAAAAAAATTTGAAAGTGGCACTCCCTCACACTCCTTTATTCTTTTTGCTGCAATGTATTATAGAAAAAATATACGTTTGCGCTGGGGTTCGAACTCGCGATATCGAGCTTGCAACTGAGCTATGGTCAACTTCGCTTATACTGATATTTGTATGACAAACTAATATCATTGTTTATTCACGTTGGATAAAGTGTTGCTTTAAATAATTCCCAGATTCTCTGGTAACACCTTCTATTACAAACTGTTTAGGATTCAGAACGCTCAGGACAGTTGCTGGGGAAATATTCCAAATTGGCAACACTCTGGAGTTCAGAGTGCGAATTTTGTTACTTTTCCTACGAGAAATATTCAGGAAACACTATCACTAGATTTCTAGAATATTCGCTACAATATCTTTTAATTGTTTCAATCTGCGGTGCCAATAATCCAAATAGATAAATAATTTCACTAAATCGATTGCGATAGCTTGCTACACATTCTGTCTATTGCTTTAAAATGTCCAAGTCTATGCTTATCGGCAGGTCGTAGAGCGGTGTGGGTTACTTTCTCACCAGACATCCGTTTGATGCATTTTCCTCGCTATACCAGAAAACCTGCCTCATCGTAGGCTAGTAGACTTACAGGGTCTTGTTTTTCAGTTTCACCGATTGAATAATCAGATAGTACTACAATTCAACACGATGTGGCAGCACTTATATAAATGAATAAACAAAGGTATTATATTAACATCATTAATAAATCTATAGATATGATCGCTCATTCACTACTACAACCATTGAATTTATAACTATCAGAAGCGCTGATCCCATATAACAGTTTGTGACCATATGCGAACTTTCCGCCGCTAGGGGCAGTTCGATAGTTTGAAAGTCCGTGGCCGATCGAAAGTGGAGCGTTACATTGACATTAGATGGCAGCATTACAAACCATTCATTTTGACCATTCGAATATTTTCCTTTTTAATCGTTAGATGTCAGGAACTCGGGATGTTTTTTGTGCTATCATTGGAATGGAGGATTGGAATGTTCTAAAAATAGATCCCTTAAGAAGTGTTGCATAAATGTGTAATGTAAATAATAATACATTTAGACGAACGAAGCTTGCAGTCCTTGCCCTTGAAGGAATGCAATTTCATACATTCTATTCACAGGCAGTACAATAGGCAGGTTCAACATTTTTTTATTTTTACTGAAAGCGGGAGATTTTGTTATTCAAAAACGATAAAAAAAATTTGAGGGCAAAATATTGTCCGTTGTAAGCATTTGAATTTTGAAAACCAACGGTCAGCGAGAAGAGAAAAAAACGTACCAACACATTTGCCGCCGCGTTGGCAGACTATATAATACGAATTCACGTGAACTGGAACCGATGTGTTAATTTTATTTGCTGTGTGCACAATGCTGCCAGGGTATAAGAAAAGTTAATGTGGAAATGGAGTTTTCGGTAATGCAAATTTAAATGAACGAATGAACCTCAGAACAGTCCAGTAGTGGAATTGTTGGCATTTGGCACCTTCATCATTTCCACATTCACATTTGATAACTAAATTTCGCGAATCAGCTTTTTTTATAACCTTGCAGCATTGTGCACAAATAAATCGGTCCCAGTTTACGTGAATTCGTTTACCTACTAGAGCTGAGCGATAAATGAAATTGTTATCGATTTATCGATAAGTCTGTTCAGTCTGATAATTATCTATTAATCGTTAATCGATAATTATCTATAACTTTAAACAATTATCGATAACTTTCGATAATAATCGACAATTATCGATAAATCGTAACAATCATTTTCGATAATGATCGATAATGTTTGATATTAGCGATAACTTTTTATAATTATCGACAACTTTTGAAAATAATGAATAATGATTGTTACCTGCTGATAATAATCGATTATTATTGCCACTTGTCGAAAATTGTCTATCTCTGATATTTATCGATTAATAGATAAGTAGCGGAAATTATCAAGAGAAAACTATCGATACTTTTTCATAAATCTCATCGATATATATACTCAATCGATATATTACATCATCCATGCGTACATCGCTAACATTTTTGTTTTTTTGGTATTGGTATTGCGAGAGATAATTTAAATAAAACAGGATCTTTTGATGCTGAAGTTTTCTGAAATCAAAGGTGATCAAGTGGACGATAATCCTCAAAAATGAGTACAGCAGTAGGTTGTGAATTGTGATCATATGGCAACTCCACAATGCTCTTACATCGCTTTTGTTGGAAGTAAACTGGTATACCTAAACATTGAAAAGTTTATGTCGTTAAATATTCTCTCGATAATTATCTATCTTAATAGTTTAGTTGTGAGATTAATCGATAGATTATCGGTAATTATAGATTTATCGACCAATCCTTTAAAATTTTCGATAAATTACACCGGTCTACAGCATTTTTGCGCATGGGACATATATATCTTATTTTTATTGCTTCTATAGCCACAAATAAGAATTAGAACAAAAAATAGTTATGTATTTGTTTTTGTGTGAAAAAAATGCAAAAAACCAAAAAATAAAAATACCTATAAAATCTTACTTACATAAGGCATGATTTATTAAATGGTAACGTTTCTACATTTATAATTTGTTTATCTTAGAGTCTAAATGTTTAAAAATGGAACAGTTTTGCTGTTTTTGTCATGTTCAACTGAAGTTTTTCTTATCAACCCCCAAATATGATCTTCCATCATGCTTCCAGCTTCCTGGCCTTGGGAAGGTGCCTAAATTCCATTGTCTTGACAAAGTGTTGTCCTTGTTATTCCGAATAAGCTCCCATATTATCCTTAAATTGATCTAAATGAGAATGTAACCTGTGCATCTTTATTCTTTAGAGACATTCTATACCCCATGATACAAAACCAAATCCTGTCAGCTCGTCATAATTTTCAGCTCTATGGTTTCCCAGGAAACACTGAACGGGAAACCATGGACTATTGCCTTAAAGCTGTTCCAGGATTTTTTTTCCTCTTTGCTAAGTAACCGCGGAAAAATATCATCCTCCATTTTTCTTTTTTTTTGAGGGAAAACAAAGGTTCCAGCTTTAATTTTCGCCCCCGAAAGCTTTCAATCAAATCGCTGTAACTTTTGTAAAAGCAAATATTTTCGATGTCTTAATCGCACTTTTTATTTATTTTTGCTTATTATAGTCAGAATATATTATGTAAATCCCATGCGCAAAAAATTCTTTTTTTGTTGATCGGTGTTATCCATTAGTCGACCATTTGTTTAAAATTTGTCGACTGACTATTAATCGATAATTATCGATAAGTTATCGATTAACCATTGAGAACAAATTTCAAACGTCAGAATTTAAAAGAAAAGAGGTACCGAGTTAACGACCTTTTTATTTTGTATCAAAATTGCCAGATGTGACGTGTGATCCTAGATCAGGGATCGGCAACCTGCGGCTCTTTTAATACCTATAAAGTTGCGGCTCTCCGTATTTACCTAAAGAAATTAGTTCATTTGTTCGAAATTCGCCTTTTTAATTAATCTTATTTTGTATCAAAAGTATACTTGCAGCAAATAATTATCTAATTTTTGACACTTGTTTACTTTCTGGTATTATTTTGTTTTTTTATTATAGCCAGCCTACTCCGATGTATAAACACGTAATTAATTAATGAGTAGGTACTTTTGTGAAAAATATTGAATAACCTAAACACTGCGGAGTTTAAGCACAGGGCACCTCTTATAAACATTTAAGAGAACACAAAAGACAATCGAATAGCAAAATATAATAGTGGTAGTTCCATTTGAAAAAGAATAGTTGTAGCACTTTGAACAAACGGCATTGAAACAACCAAATATTCAGGATTTAACACGTTGACTGCGGTAGCTTAAAACAAGAACTTGCCGTTGATGCGTTACATATCGCCGGGGTATTGTAATGTAACTTTACCATAGTGCTATACATACCGCCGGCGATATGTAGACAACTGGTCAAGTAAGCCCCATCTAGTTTACTTGTGCGTAAATTTTTGAGTTCCGCAGCGTGGGGACCTGTAAGCTAACACTATTATTTATTTAATTCTTGAACCGTACATATCTCCGGCGACTGGTACCGCAAGAAAGTGAAGAAGACTGTATAACCCTAAAATTATGCAATCAACTCGAATAAAAAACATTACAACGAACACTATTTTCTGAAAATTGAGGGATATTTATTTATTCCATGTTAATATTAATATTATTATTTGTGATTAGTATTGAAACATGGAAGATAGTACCCAGGTTGGCCTGGACAAACATTACAATAACTAGACCGAAACTAGATCGTTAAAACTAACGAAATGTTTACGGAATACAAAGATGATGCAACTTGCGCAATTCTGTCATGCAGTATGATGCAATAACCTTAGAAGTAGCTGCAAAACTGTACATATCTCCGGGGGCATGTGCCGCACACAATTAAATTTGTATTAGTCCTGTGCGTTACATGTCCCCGGAGATATGTACCAAAAAATTCAGTGGCCTTGACTATGCAAAGCACTACCATAAAAAAGCTATACGTAAAACTTATATACGTTAAAAATCAAGGAAGATATGGCTTTCGCACACAACGAATGTTTGGTAAAAGTTCGCTTGGTCACCACGGAAAGAAACCCACATATCCCCGAGGATATGTAACGCAGTCAACGTGTTAAGAAATCCTTAGCACTCTTGTATTTGTAAAACTGTCCAACCCCAAAAATGCACTTCAGACTCCAAACGGGAAGAATCCCTCCGCCCGACGCAACTTTCTATCAAACTAATAAAAAATGCTCACCCACATCCATGTGTCCTTATTAGAGTAGCGAACCGTGATTAATTGAAGAAGGAAAAATGGTGTACAGCGTCTTGGAAGGAATTCAACTCTGACACCTCGGGAGATAAACAAAACGTGGGCAGAAACCACCCGAAACGTTGCTATGTTTGCCGAGAAGCGGCACGATTTGCATAACCTACTTAGGGTACCTAACACTCATACCTCTGTCTTATTAAAATTCAGCCATATATCCTGCACCATCTGAATCTTTAAACTAGGTACCACTAAATCGCCTACGGTACCAGAATCTCCACCATTCCTGGTGGTCGAGTATACGAAAACCCAAGTCCCCATTCAACAAGATTCCAAAGCTGAAGAGTATTCCCCTGGTACTACCATAGTGCAGTAAGACTACTATTGTTTAAAATCGTCACAATCGGGAAAAAAGTCATAATCGGAAGAATAGAAGTGAAAATCCAGCCACTCAACCCCAAAACTCCTGCGTCAGAGTTGTGGCCGACTCGCCGCTGCCCAACTGCCTCTCACGCCACACAGCACCCACAATTCCTGTCCCTACATAGGTAAATATCAGAAAACCTAAGTACTTTGAAGGCTGTTGAAGACTTTGGCTCAAGGAGTCAAAAGGTTCTTTAAGTTTCTTGAAATCAATTTTAAGAGACTGTTAAAGTCGCAAATTAGGGTTTGAGCTTCTTAGTGTTTTTGAACACTACTTAAAGAGTGCTCTTAAAATCTCGGCTAATACAGAGAAGAAAGAATCTCAAGAATTCAATCTCGTGGGATATGCTTGCAAATTTTCAGAGACTATATTTTAGGTTCTTAAGGACTGCAAAGACTTTTAAAGAAAGCGCCTTGGAGTATCTCATGTCATAAATGTCATAAAGCTCTTGAATGTAAAAAGCCTCGTATAAAATACAGCATTTAGAAGATTCTTAATGCTTTCGGAAACTCTTCGTGGCCGTGGATATCTTTAGGAGCACTTTCTAAAAGCTTTTAGAGGCTCTTCTGAAAAGCTGTTAAAGGCTAAACAGGTTTATATAAGCTTTTTGAAGGCTGTTAAAAACTTTCAGGGTTTCTTAAAGACCTAAAGGTTCTTAAATACTTTTAACATCATTAAAGACCTTTAAGACTCCCTAGAAAAGGACGAGTATGAACTCAAAAAAAATATTAAAAACTATTGATTAGAGATTCATAGTGGTCTTAAAGACCTTCCAAGGCTGTACAACTGTTAATTCTTCTCAACGCCTCAGTAAATCTTTGTGGTATCTTGAAGGCTTTTCGAGACTTCAAAGGTTTTTAAAGACCCACCAGGAGGCCTTTGGAAGCGCTTAGAAACTGCTGCCGACCCTTATTTAAACGCTCTTAAAGACTTACAGATCCTTAAACCTAGTAAAGGATATTAACCACTCAATATATTTTTAAAGATTATTAAAAGCTCGCTAATACCCCGCCAACATCTCCCTCAATAAACAGTCGTTCCTTAATACATGCCCGATCCAACTACTTTCCTTTCTGCTGTGGTATTCAGCAACTTTCGTTTTTCGCTTAATTATCAACACTTTTTCATTCCTAACTCTATCTGACCACGCTTTTAAGTCTCCTTGTCTCTTTTATTCATGTCTACTTATCTCAAGATTCCCTTAAACGCTATGACATTGCGCTTACACTTGCCTGGTTTGCGATGTTCTCACCCTCTCTTCTTCTCGTCTCTTTTTTTCACACATATTTCATTCCTGCTTCATTTCTTCTTCTTAGTCATACTAGCTTATTTTGCTTCGAAACAACACCATTTTTTCAAAAGGGAGGAACGGGAATGGGGTGAAAGGGTTCAAAGTTGGTGATTGTAACCAGGAACCGCAATTCTCATCATTCATCAGAATTCTGCATAGCGCCATATTTCGGTAACGAATAGACATACAAACATGAGTCAAAATTTTTTCTACAAAAAAGTATAGAAATACGTTTGCCGTATATGAAGGAAAACCGTTATTGAGGAAAAAGGTATTGACGAAGGTCGGCAATTTAGCAGCTTCCTCCCGCCCCCTTTCTTTTCGTACAGGGTCCTCGAGGTCTAAAAGTCTAAAACATGAAAACATGTTAAATACCCGTCCCTGAACAACATCCCAAACTTCCATTAACTTGCGACCTTTTTCCACCTGACCTCACTTTTTCCACCCAGTCGGCTGGACTACTACCATAGAGTAAATAATATTTACTCTATGCTACTACTAATACGGCAACGTTTGAAACTTAAATCGGTTCAAACTTCTAATTGAAAACTCCTAAAAAGAACACACGAGATAACGAGGTTGGTAAAGAAGATGGCAGTACGCACGTATGCACCAACTTTAAATTCAGATTTATAGCCTCCAACATGAGAGAAATGTGTATCTCGATCCAAACCATTTCGAGATCACAACAGATTCGGTTAATCGTCAGAAATAATGAAACTATAGTTCAAACATGACCTGTCGATTTGCATCCACTCTCCAGATTCTGTCCTGTTAAATACCGAAGATTCATTTTGTCCCTCAAAAGATTTTCCACCGCTTTCATTCATGAGTTGATCGCGCTGATCTTAGAATCTCAAAGTACAGGGAAGGGTAATGATATTAAACACAACATATTTTAAGAAGGGGGCAGTGTAAGAGGCCTAAACCGATAATCTAATTAAGTGATGAGCAAATCGTCCGTAGCGTTAGGTCTATGCACAATATAACTGTTCTTCTTGTAATATTTGTGATTTAAGATCACAAAGTGGTTTGAAATTCCATTTTTAACGATAGTAACAAACGCTAAATACTCATAGAGACCTCACGTACAAAAAGACAAATATGCAGATATTTGTTAGGTTTAACGGTACAAATTGAAAGAAATCCTGAAGATATCCGGTGAACTCCATCAAAATCTAGCGAAATCCTTTTGACATCAAACCCACTCGCTGTAAAATGGCCATCTCAATAATACTTCTATTGGCCAAGTACTGTTAGAATAAAAAAATATTACCGCGCGATAAATCATTTAAGCAAATATGTAAAAAGGTAGGTAAGGTACCAACGGTTTATAACCATAAATATTTACATTCAATTTGAAAAGTACATAAATTTCAATTATAATCTTCGACATTGCATACGTCATGGACGGACAGCAGTTGTCAAAGTGAAGAATCGTTATATGTGCGATTTATGATCGAATTGACATCGTTGTCCCGTTTCGCGTGGTATACCGTTCGCACGCGTTGTGTATTGAGATGTAACTCGGACAATTAAACACATAAAGCCCATTACAGGTAAATATGGAAAGTCGATTACTTGCGTACTCTTCAATCATGCCCTGTTTTAGTTTAGTACCGGTGCTGATAGGTTTATCGTGATCGCCTGCAATGACCAGCTCCTTTGGAAAACTCCTTGCGTGTATTCCGCAAAGAGGATATTTGTTTATATGCAGATTTCTGATTGTAAACAGTGTACGTATAAGGAACTCAAAATAAGGTTAACCACAAATTTTTCTATATTTCTAGAAAGTATGCGAATAATTAAATGGTTATCTGCATAAAATACAGTGCCGAGTTCTAATATTTATGTTTGTTCGCCTTATTTGGTCTTATTTGTAAGAGCAATGCAACCCGCCGCAATTTTGCTACTTTGTTATTTGATTTGTTAAATGTGCCGATTGTACCTACGCTCTTAAGTTTAGTCGAGGAATTTTTGCAATGGATAGTTCCTGGTAATAAACTACGTTACTTATTGCTACTTTGGCACGGAGGTGGGTCATGTCTTTTGTTGTTGTTTAATCTACTGTTACAGATTCAATTCGAGCATGGCTCCATTTAATGTCCTATTACAATTATAGATATATAAAACGTGCTTTCAACGACGTATTTATAACGAACTGGAACCATTTGACGCATTCAGGTCGAAATTGAATCCAGTGTTAGTAGGTGTCACATTCTAGCTTTTCTTCAACACTGTCAAAGACTACTTATTTTATATGTACTTTTCTAATTAGAATTCTCTATAAAATCTTTATTTAATAAGTTGTGAATCAAATGGGTGAATTGGATGCATTTACATTCGCCTTTGTTATTAAAAATTGAAAAATATTGCCCCTATTACTCTTACATGAGAAAAAAAATTTGCATATCTAAAAAATACCTAATTATGCAATTGCGTATCCATTGATATTTATTTTTGTTTATAAATTCTCTTTCTTTAAGCAAATTTCATCTTCTCATTTTCTTGCTTTGAATTCTAATAAAAGTCCTTTGTATATACAATTCTATAAATTTCTTTTTTTCTCTCCAATACTTGAGAACTTTTCAATACTTTCTACAACCACACCTAAAGACAGGGCTCACAATGGTAAACATTCCAGAAGCGAGAAGCACCAAGTAAAGATTGATTAAAAAATTAGGAATACCAGCCCCAGCGGGCCTTTGTGACCTCCCACGTTGACGAACAGCATTAGCCTTGCGAAATGTAGAAATGATAAATAATATATAAAATTAAAAAAGTCTGCATCAACCGGGAATTGAACCCGGGCCACCAGCGTGGCAGCTACAGTTAGACGAATGACAACGACGACCAGCATCTTAATACTGGGTGCGGCAAAACAAACAGTGCAGTTGTGTTCCCCCACTACATCCGCTGTGGTGGTGATGGGAACCGGAGAGAGGACACAGTACGTCCGGTCACTCACCCCATTTTTAGTCGTAGCAATGGTTTGCAATGGGGAGCACCGCGGCTTAGCCGTTCGCACGTTTTTTGAAAATGGTCGTTCTTTCATTATCACTCAGTGTATCTGTCGACGCCATTTTAACATTCCCCTTGGCCTTTGTGTTGAACCAGTTTCTTCCAACGCACGAACCCAACTCGCGATCACATTATGGTGCGGAACAGGATCATGACGTGGAATGTTAAAGTGCCGTGCCAGTGGCTATTCAGACGGTATTAACTTTTCATAACAAGAGAACCTTAACAGAAGGCCTCGCGGTACCCTAACTGCTTGCTTTTTCAACTTGACAGATTTTTCAAAAAAAAACGAAGAAAACTTCTCACACAACTGTGGGTCTTCAACTAATCAAATCAGGCTGACAGTCCGAATAAAAAATAGCGTAAAGAAACGTACACACTTTTTCAACCGTCGCGAACCAGCTAGCCTTTTTCATTGATTCCAATATTTAAGGAAATACCACCTCCACATTAAAATAATCTTCTTATGGCACACACTTGAATAAAACCTTTTATAAAATATGCAATTGACCAGATGTGCCTTACCTAAATTGAATAAATGACACAATTACAAACAATTCTAAAATAGAAAACAACTACGGAAATATAAGTTCAAAGGAAATAATAGGAAATATTCTAGTCTCATTTTGCATGAATTCTTATTACGAAAAAAGTAGTTTAATTATTGTGGCTGTCCATCTGACAAATAGATATTAAGTAAGTTAAGTAAGTATTAATGAAACCAAGTGGAGTGAAGAAGGAAATAATACTAATCATTATCTGTGTGGGATACGTTTCTTTAAATTTAATTAAATTAAATCATTTTGATTTTCTTTTTCTCTCTCTTCTTTTCTTAATAATAGATAATAACATAATATTTACATCATTATCCGATTGTAACGAGAGGCCTTTAATAGTTTTCCTATTTCGTAAAGTAAATACCGGAGTAGTATAGAACAACTTAAGACCTTCTGCAGGGGCACCTCCAAAAAGCATTTTGCGGATCACTCTATAATTGGGCACAACCCTGGCGAGGGCTCAGAACAAGAAAGGAACAATAAATAAATAAATAGGGGTTGATTTTTTCCGAATTTTATTTAGAGTAGCTCGGTTTTTTTAAGGTATTAAGTATTGAGTGATACATGTCGTTTCCATTAGAGGGCTGTTTGACCCAAAATTTTATTACTTTCAATGTTTTTAAGTCATTAGCGATCTGTACTTTTATGGGTCACTGGTTTCATTGTGCGCATGACCTTGGAAAGTTACTGGCGACACACTGACGAGAGACTGCCTATCTCAATGAGTTTTACGTGTCCATAACACCCCAGTCAGGATTTCTCATGATGATATTACCTGGTTATATTTGCGATTTTCTATAACATACCCACAAAAACACAAACACCAACTAATGTTGCTTCGGAATCTTTATTTCTTTATTTTCATTTGATTTTTGATTTAAACAAACTGGTTTTGTCAGGGTTTTGTTGTAATTAAAAAGTAAAAGCGACTTTTTGGTGGTTGATAACTTTGCACGACTTTGAACGACGAATTAAAACCATTTAAACTACAAAGACTGACTGTCTTTTACAAAAAATCTAACCAAAAAAGGCCTTTAAATTATTTTTTGCACAACACAGAAACAAGGTTACCTATATATGTAATTGCATTGTAATTTAATATCTTCAGACACCCTGAAAAAGTGAACTAAATTACAGAAGCATTTTTCGTTCTATCTGTGATGAATAAATTTTTATCATTTTTACGACCAGCCGGACCAGCACTGTAGTAAGGGAGATATTGCATTGGGGTAAAAAATAACCCCCACGTTTTTTTATGGAAATACACGTTTTAGAGCACCAGGAATCGGAATCAAACAAAATCTCGATGATGTCTGTCGATTTGTCGGTCTGTCTGCACTCTCATTTCTGTCTAAACGGCTGAACCGATTGAATCCAAATTTGGTACACAGATTCTTAGACATAACAGGAAGAGCTTTTGGGCAGAATTGGACATGCGAAGGTATGGGAGTGGTATCTGTGCTAGTCTAGCAATTATTTTATAGTCGCATACTCATCAAAAACTATTAAATTTGGTTTATCGGCGACATCCACAATGTTTGCTGGATCGGATGAAAACTATCGGCAACAAAAACCGCGTTTAAGCTTTTAGAACGGTTGATCAAAAAAAGATTGACGTCGAGTCGCCTTTGGGAGTTCAAGTTAAACATGATTTTCCATGGAAACAAAGTTTCCAAAAGCGTCTCGACAGCAACTCTTTTTTGATGGCATAGTATTTTGGCGTAAGGTACGTCTGGTATAAATAGATAAATTATCCAAATATTTTTCACAAATTAAATTCAATTCATGGTTTGTTTTACCACAAACTGAAGGCCCACATATACCCGAAATGGTATTGTGATAGTTTTCATTTCAGGCACAAACAGTTAAGAAGTACTTAACAATTTGAAAGTTAAGAAAAAAAATCCATGAAGGAGACTTAATCAACAATAGTTTTAATTCGAAAAAAATTATAGAGCCAAAAATTAGAAATAAAAAAATTTGTAGAGCAATTAACTGAGCACACACCTTTTTTGACCAAAGTGAAATTCAAATCGAAAAAGTAAAAGAAATAGAAGAATATGAATAAGCCATGATGTTTGTGATGTTAATATAAAATATATGGGTAGGAAAGTGTTTAATCATTTTCACTATTTCTCTTTCATCTAAATGTTTAATGAAAACGTTGAAAATCGAAACAATGACATAGATTTAGTTGTATAGTTGTATAAGTACCTATATGTAAACTAATACTAAAGGTGAAAAGAAGAAAAAAATGCAGTGTAATAACAACATTCAAAAAATAATTAAAAGTACTAGAAGAAAGTGTTTAATCATTTTCATTATCTCTTTTCGATCTAAATTTTTAAAGAGTGAAAACGTTGAAGATTGAAGCAGTAACAGTGATTTAGTTGTTAATAATGTACCTAAACAGACACAAATTTACGAAGATTCATGAAACATTCAAAGGTCTCTGGACTGGTTTTGTTTAAAATTCAATCTGGCACCGTTAGTCTCTTTGCCTAAAATAGGCTTCATAATGACCCATTTTTTAATAACAAATGGGACTCAATGATTTTAATAAAACAGCAAAATGCTTTTACCGTAATGGATAAAATTGTAAAAGAATTGCGTAACGTAATGAGTTAATGACATTCGCCTATTTAAATAAACATTCCAGAATCGCAAGAAATTTAACATTGATTATAAAAGCAATTCTCGTTGTTTATTCAATTGACATTTGACACAATTAAATGTCTCTAATTCAATAATGAGAATTAAAAGCTGTTATTATTTCACTACTAAATTGAATTACTGGAAGGAATGCGTTAAAACATCTCGTAAAAAATCGGTTTCGTCAATTAGATTTCCACGCTTTATTGCTGCCCAAATTTGCATTAATTATTAATAATTACACGGTTTTGTACAAATCTAACTGATTAACGGGGCGACTTACAAAAAATTAATTAATAACCACATACGATTTGTCTCAGTTAATTGATTATTTTTTTCCATCGCGTATCGTTTAGTTTAATGTGTGAAAGTCGCTCGATGCGTGTGCGTCGAATTTTAACGGACGATTAGTTCGACGGATGGTCTGCCAGGCGATAGAAAAAAACTATAGCCAGCAGCCAAAGAACGAAATCGTCAGTTCACTTTAATTCATTCATGTTTAACCC